GTCCAGCCACCGCCGCTGCTCTGCACCGCAGCGAAGCCGCAGCTGCGGGCAGGAGGATCCCGGTGGGCACCAGCCCCGGCATCGCCCTGTGCCCACGCCGGCCATCGCAGCTCTCCACCCAGTGCAAGCACCCACGTTTCTCGCCCAAGCACCCAGCGGGCGATTTAGCGGGACACAACACCCGGCAGCACCAGGAAACCACCAGGGACGAGCAGTAAATCCCCGACCCCAGCATCGCCCGGAGCTGCCCCCCAAGCGGGGTGCTCCCCAGCGTGCTCCTACCTTGTGTCCACGCTCGGGCGCTTGTTTGTGCTTTCACTGCCGGCACACCCCAGGCTGGTGGCTTAAAGGATTTTCCTATAATAACCTCCAAATCCCTCTCCTGGGCAGTAAGCTGCAGACCTGGGCCCCTTCCTAGGTACAGAGCGCTCCACCGCGCTCTGCTCGCTCGCTGCTTTGCATATGCTCGTATCAAACTGGATTTCCCCCCACCTGACCCAGACCAGTGCTTAAAAAGCCCTAGAACCCCTTGAATTTCATTTCCCCTTGTCTGCGAGGTCTATCCCCGGCCTCACCCACGGATTTTACATACTCTCGCTCGCAATCCTGACGTGAGCTTTCCGCACGCTTCGGCGTCCTCCCCGCGCAGAGGCTGAGCAGCCCCTGCGTCCTGCCCAGAGCAGCCGCCGCCTTGGCCGGGCAATGAGCCACTGCCCGGTGCGGACGTGGCTCCGCTCGGCACGCGGCGCTGCCGGAGGCTTCGCCCCAGCACCCCCACACCCCGGCCCCTCGCTGCTGCTGGGGCTGGTGCAAAGGGGGCCAGGCTGGGGACGGGTGCTGGGGGTGGCGGTGACGGACCCCTGCCCCGGCAAATTCCCCACCACCACCGTGCCCACGGGGTGCTGAATGCCCCCGAGCTGTACCTGAGAAAAAAACCCACTCAAAACCGTCCCCAGGGCATGTCCCCTGGAGCAGGGGGGGCTTATTCAGTCATGCAAATGAATTTCAGTAGTGGCTCTGCTCCCCCCCGTGACAAATCTCTCCCGGAGAGGATTTCTGCTGGCAGACAGGGCCCCCCTGGGTACCCACAGGCTGCTATTTCACACTGTCTTGTTTCACTTCTCTTTTTGGATTTCACAGTAAAAAGCAGATAAAGTTGGAAACCAGCAACTGCAGCAGCTTTCAAGGTTACAGGCAGCAGCAGCGGCAGAAAGAGCAGGTTCCTCTGCCCGAAAAGCCCCTGCCCGTGACGGGGGGGGTTTGCTTGCAGCTGCACAG